TACTACGTTTGGGTTGAACATACGCCTAGGTTGATAATAGCTAGGGGGCCTAACCATGTTTGTCCTATTTTGAGAAAAGGATGGTTTATGCATGTTTTCAAAAGGATCATTTCTAGGTGTTCTCATATTGTCTCTTCTATTTTGAGAAAAAATATTTTTATGCACAAAAACATTTTGATAATTTTTCTTAGGTTGTCTACCATGAACGTTTTCATTCCTAGGTTTTTGTCTAGGTTGTCTAGTGTTCTTAGATTGACTAGGTTTTCTATTTACTTGATTTTTAGCTTTCTTATGTTGAGCCTTAGGAGGTTGTCTAGGTGTTTGCTCAACGTTTTCTTTATCCTTAGCTTCGTTTTTATTAAAACCTATTCCTTCTTTAGAAAAATGCATGGTGTCAAGGAGTAAATTAAGATCTTTGTGTGGAGTATTAAATTTCTTGACCGTACTCTCAAGTTTTGTGACTTGTTCCTCTAAAGCTTTGCAAGATTCACATTCGTTTGAGGAACTTTCTGGTTTGTCGGCGCTTCTTTTGCCATAAAATTTATTCTCTTGTTTTAACTTCTCATTATCTTTTTCCAGATTTTCAAAATCATTTTCAAGAGTGGAGAGGCGTTTCTTTAACGATTTGTTGATTTTAGAAGCGCTAACAAATTCATCATAAAGTTCATGAAGTGCTTCTTGCATTTCTTCAAAGGTGTAAGAGTCGGAAGAAATGGTACATACCTCTTGTACATCGTCGGTTTGGTCTTCGTGCGCGATGAGACAGAGGTTGGAAGTTTCATCCTCGTCTTGATCGGTTGACTCGTCGCCGGAGTCGCCACCCCAAGAGATATATGCCCTTTGCCTTTTGAAGTGCCGAGCATTCCTTCCGCTTTTCAGGCATTTGTTCTTGATGTGCCCGGCTTCACCACATCCATAGCACACAGGGCCATCCTCAACCTTTTCTTTCTTCCGTAGAAGTTTACAAAACTTCTTCATGAAAAGCTTGACTTCATCATCGTCGCTTGAATCATCCATCGTTGATTCTTTGACGGCTTTTAATGCTATCCCTTTCCTTTGGTCATTCAAAGACGGGTTAAGAATAGTAGATTCATATGTTTTTAGATTACCTCTTAGACCGTCGATGGTGACATTTGATGTGCCGATTGATTCATAGATGGCATCGGCCTTGGATCGCCATTCGGATGTCAAGCTCCGTAGGATCTTTTGCACAAGATCCTTTTCGGTGTAAGTCTTCTTTAATGCATGAAGATCGTTGACTATTTTGGAAAATCGGTCGAACATGTCGTCAATCTTCTCGTGCTTTTTCATCCTAAACATCTCATACTCTTGGGTGAGGAAGTCGATCTTGGCTTCAGTTACTTGGTCCGTTCCTTCGTACGTCACCTCGAGCTTATCCCACATCTCCTTGGCGGTTGTGCAGCAGGAGATCTTGCGGTAGTTATCAGGATTTACGGCACAATAAAGCATGTTTATTGCCTTTGCATAATTCTCGACCTTTTTGATGTCCTCGGCATCAAACTCGTCTTCGGTCTTGGGGATCAACTTGTCACCAACTTTCTTCATCGGCACCTCTTCCCCGTTTTTGATAACCAACCATAATTGGAAGTTTGTGGAACGAATATAGATTCTGATTCGTTCTTTCCAATATGTATAATTGGTTCCATCAAAAAGAGGTGGTCGTGTGGTTGATTGCCTTTCACCTATTCCTGCATACAAATTTCTAGAAGAAGAACCCATGATCGCTTTTACTCTTAAACGGTTAAGTTTGGACGCGAGTTAGGCTCCGATACCAATTGTTAGAATAAGTGCCCTTCACTAGAGGGGGGTGAATAGCGAGGCACGAGAATGTTTATAAATTTTCGCGGAATAAAAATCGAAGGGATAAAGTAAAGAGCGGAATAAAAAGGAGTAAAGGGAGCACACCGAATTTTACCCTGGTTCACCACAACTTGTGGCTAATCCAGCCTCCCGAGAGACTCTCTCGAGCTACACTACTTCCGTTAAGCTTACGGGTGCTTAACAAACCGTTACAACCTGAGAATTCGAGTCCCACGAGACTCAATACACTTGCTCGGAGATACCGCACTCCAAGACTTCAACCCGAAGGAAAATACCTTTCCTTCGTACAACCAAGGGAAACAAGCTTCCCTTAACGTGTATACAACACTAAGACACTCAAGAACAAGGCTCTCTTTTAGAGTAGATGTTGAGTAAACTATATACGCTTAAGAACAACTCAAACTTCACAAATTGGCT